TAGGGATGGGCGTATCGATCCGAAGTAACGATATATCGATACTGACGCGAGTAACGAAAGTATCCATACTCAAAAAAATATCGATACTAAGGTGCATTTTATTTACCAGTGGTTTTGTTTATTTAACAAAAATAATAATAATGCGTACAATATGCATTGAATTGGACAAATAACCTTTGTTAGTGAGTAATTGTGTAGGATAGAACTATTTTCCTGCTCATCTGAACACACGCAAATGTTGCAAGACAGAACCAATCAATCACAGAGAGCATTCACTCACTGCCTGGTTACAATTGTGACTGACCATAAAATACAATTTTTCACACACTTTTCCAAAAAATAAAATAAAATAAAATAAGTTATTGATTATTTCAAAGGGTTGACGACATGAGGGTGAGTAATTAATGACAGAATTTTCATTTTTGGGTGAACTAACCCTTTAAGGATTACAGATTTTTATTTATTTATTTCCAGTAGCACAAATAAAATTTCACAGTTTAAATTAAAGCCATGTTTTGGCTCGGTTAAAATCGCTGATTATGGCTGACATTTAAAAACAGTAATGATACAAAATCTCCCCTATTAAACAGTACAGCATAGACTGTCAAGATGTGCCAGTGACTGATATATATCTCTCAGTAGTTTTTCCACATATCTTGAAAATTAAACAATTTCCCCAGTATAAATGTTTGACAGTGACATAATGAATCATTTTAAGGTATTTTCCTTTCCCCCGTAATCACTGTAAACTCCTCATGGCCCTGCAGTAATGGCTTTCAGACTGCTGGTCCTCTTCATGATGTTTGGTACGAACAGCAGTCCGGGCGCTCTCTCGATGCTCTCAATGGGAACCAAGAAGCGTTCCAGTGGAATCTTCTCATCGACTGGCATATTGGGCATCACATAGGACCGTAGCTCCACGTCTCCCCTCGGCTTTTCCAGAATCACCACCTTAAAGAAGTGAGTTGGCACAGCTACATGGTTCTTTCCCAAAACCTGATACTTCACGTACATTTTCCCATCAGGTTCCTGTCTGTAGGTGCATGGAGAGAAAAATTAGGTTCTATTAATTAAATACGTTCAAATATCTTGATTTCAGGCATGTGGCTAATTTAAAATATCTTGAACAGTGGTTCTCAAGTCGTTTTGTCTCAGGACCCAGATTTTACATTTGATTTAAGCAGTGAGCCTTGCTATGGCATAGTCTGGTGATCTTCCAAGATAATTACGTGTTATTTAGTTTCCCTTAATGGCATAACATACAGGCGGTGCAGATTTGAGAGCATATTGAGAGACTTTTACCGGGGTAAGTAGAGTGGTCCAGTGCACACAAAGACGTTCTGGTAATGCTTGATGAGAGAGCGACAATATTTCTCCAAGTTATTCCATGCGTTCTGGTTTAGATGAAGATTCTGTGGGGAAAGATAACCGCAATATTATTAGCCATAATTACCCATGCAAACAGAAAAATAAGCAGTAAGCAAACTTTTTAAATGATTGGTGGTTTTAAAGATTTTATAAAATAAGGTGCTCATGGAAATCTACCCTACTATTTAGTTCCAACACCAGGGTTGTGCAAAATTCAGAATGAATGAATTACTTCCATTTCAATTAATAAGAATTTGAATACCACATAATGAAGAGGAATTTCAATAATCCAAAACAAGTTATGCCTATTTATTTTTTGATATATTTAAAATACTGTTTTCTTAACTGATTAGACATGTATATAAATTCAGTAAAGGTTTAATTATTAATAATAAGGAAATTATTAATAAATAGACAAAAATAAGTTAAATTCGTTGTTATAGGTTAATTTCATGCATTTTCTGATATATTTTTTTCTTTATTAATTAGACATAAATTCATTAATTGATAATAATAAACCAATTATTAATAAATATTAAAAATAAGTTAAATGCATTGTTATAGGTGGCATTTTAAACAGTGATTATTAATATATATTTATTTTCTGATATATAAAAAATCTTGATTGACACTGACACTTATATAAATTCAATAATGGTTTAATTATTAATACTAAACAAATTAATAATCAAAAATAATTTAAATACTTTTAAACATTGATTATTAACATCATCTATCATTTATATATTATTTTATTATTTGTATTTACTATAAATTCAGTAAAAGTTTAATTGTTAAAAATAAAATTATTAATAAACGATTCAAGTTCAAAGTTTTAATAAACACTAAAAAGTAACAAGTAAATACTTTTTATGCAACATTTTAAACTTATTAATAATATAATCTATTGTTTATTTTTTGACATGTTTAAAATAATTTTCTCTTAATTGATTAGACATTTATATAATTCCATTGAAGGTTCAATTACTAATAAAAATAATCGTTGAAAAATTAATATTTAAAAATAAGATAAATACATTTTTATATGAGGCATTTTAACAATAGATTATTAATATCACCTAAGGCTAAATTTTCATTTACCTTCATTCCTTGATCTCCATGAAGAGGATTGAGCCTGTGGTGACACATTGTTCAGGTAGAAGGTGTCATCCATGCCTTTCTGACTCCATTTGTGATTGGCTGCTGCGGCCAGATGACCCCTGTCAACCCCACTGCCCTTGTAATCCACATTAGTCGATCTGTGGTATACATGAACCGAGTCGTCCTCTTTAAAATCGCAGAACTTTCTGTCCGAAGCCCCGGTTATTGTCTCGGCGCTGAGCTGCTCTATGACCCAGGCTGCGGTCCTGTTTCTGGGGTCGTATGAGGTCACGTAAGACTCTCTGCTCTTGATGTTGGACAGGGAAGGGAAGGGAAGCCGTACTTCATAACAGCAGTGGATCTGTTTACAGTGACCTGTCCCGGCTGGTACGGGGTAATCTCTGACGCTGCGTCGACGCTCGGGATCGGGATGACTGGTACGCGGTCCAGCAGTCCACCGCTGTGGCTCGTATCCCCGTTTTTATTAAAGCGATCGCAGGCTGCTGTCAAGGTGGCACCGATGCCTATGCCAGCTGTCACTGACAGCCCGGATAAAACCCACCGCGAGCAGAACACACTTTGCATCATACACGCTTAGTAAATACGGTTAATTAATTTATCTGAATAAAGTGCTGTTACTTTGCCCACCGTATATTTACATAACCCATGTGAGTCAGTCGCACCGGCAAAGCAAGCGCACAGGAAATGTAGTCGCATATTTATGACATCATGCTTTTTCTTAAAAAGGCAGAACAGTTTCAGAATTAAAGTTACTGGGTCATTCCTACTATGCAGTACATTTTCATGTCGCAAACGCTTCTAAATAGTGGAGAATATTCAGTTTAACTATTAGTTTTTTCACAATTAAGTTAAATATTTTATTTAGTCATTTTAAACTTAGGTTTGAGCTGGTGTTTCATCATGTACCCCTTTACACTTCTAAAATGGAAAAAATATTTTTTTTATTTTCCTCTATTGGAAATGTTTCTATCAGAAATAGTTTACATGAATTCCCTGTTAAATATTTAAATGGGTTTTCATGTGTCCTCAAAATCACTTTCAAGCCTGTTATTGCTTTGTAATCAGTGTTATTCTAGTATTTGTTTAGGTACTATTGTAGTCTATTAAAATGTAGAGCTTGTACTTTTTATTTTCTGTTTTGTTTTATTTTAAAGATTTAGACCGGTGTTGGTTTTGTCTTTTGTCTTTTTTTATTTTTAAATCAAATTTTTGTATATACTTGTATCAGTTTCAGTTTTTAAAAGTGACAGTGAAAGTGGCATGATGTGTGGCCAAGTATGAGATCCCATACTCGGAATATGTGCTCTGCATTTATCCCATTCAATTGCACACACACACAGTAGTGAGTAGTGAGCACACACACCGTGAACACACACCCGGAGTAGTGGGCAGCCAATGCTGCGGCGCCAGGGGAACAGTTGGGGGTTCGGTGCTCAAGGGTCTCACCTCAGTTGTGGTATTGAGGGTGGAAGAGAGCGTTGTACATTCACTCCCCCCACCTACAATCCCTGCCGATACGGAGACTCGAACCCATGACCATTGGGTTACAATTCCGACACTAGATCATTAGTCCACGACTGCCCCAGTCATCCATTGTCAGTCTAGTTACACTAAATGAGAAATGTAATCTTGGAAACTAGCTGAAATAGCTTTTTTTTAAGTTTCAGTTAACATTTATTTTATTTACATTTTTTATGGAGTTAGTTTTAGTTAATAATAATAATTAAGGGTGGGGAATTAAGTGACATTATTGTATGAACACAACAGCTCAAACATTGCTAAGTATTAGCAATAGATTTGATGCATTTTGTGATGTTTTAGATATTATCATTTTAAAACATTCCATGCTGATTGATAATAATCTAGAAATATCAACACTACAAACTATGCTTTAAAAAATATTTCAAAATTAACTTCAAATTGACAACTTCATGTAAGCAAACTGTCAATCCCTCACTGGGCAATTGCTGACTTTAGCTCTTTATTTCCATCAGCATATTTCTGAAAGTCTGCTATATACAGTAGGCATAAAAATTACAAAGTTATGGAGCTTAAATGGTGTTGTATAACATAAATTACCCTACTACATGTGCAGTTACCCCAACTGGAATTTCCAGTGCTAATTACATAACATGCCGTATGTTATATAGCATGAGTATGTATTTAACTCGTGCTTAGGTAGAACCTTATATTTTTTTGTTTCCAGAAAGCAAAAGTCTCCACCTGGCATAAGCTCTGCTGACTCAAGTTGTGTGGTAAGGATTTATTAATTTATTTCAGTGCAGATGGTTAGAGCAATGCAAACGGCTCAGCACATTTGATTCTGGGTCTGTAGACATATATGTGGCTGATTCACCTTGTGAAACTTTCTAAGGAATAAAAATGGGCTGATATTAATTACCCTTATTAGCTGTTGTGACTGTTATGTCGGTGTATGCTGCATCAGACACTAAATATATATGCTGTTAAAACTTTAATTTGCATATAGAAGGACAGAGTCTAAAGAAAGACAATTCACTCATGTCTCTTTGTGCTTTCTGATTGTCAGGTTTTATTCATTTATAATATTTATTCATAGTACTTTATTTACCCTGGCTCATTATGAATGTAAAGCATTTGTAAATATGAAATACATCAAAAAGCCCATGAGCCGCTAAAGATTTTGGCATTTCTTTGAGACTCACGCAAGGAAAATAAAATAAATTATTTGAAAAATAACCTGATTGCATGATATACAATGTGCCGACTTTCAATATGCATTTTTAATTGTTAATCTGAATGGCCATTCTAATTGTGCTGATTAACGATACATTTTTTTTCTGTGCTTCATAATTATTTATTTATTTGGGGTTCGTGGGACTTAGTGCTTTAGGAATGCACTTATATCACAGGTATCATTACAGAAGTGTGTTAATAAGCAGTCCTGAATGGTCATATCTGCACTGATGAATACATGCCAGTAACAATATGATGTGCGGGTTACATTGAGCTAAAGCTGTGCATGTAATGAACCGTTTATGCTTTATTTAAATGTAATGATATGGATGGAAAAATATTCCAGATATCTTAGAGATGCACTCTGCTGTATCATCAAATATAGTTTTACCATGGTGTGAATACCATATGCACTGCAATAAAGGCTGCAATGTCTTTACAATGGTAACATTTACTCAACAAAAATAACAATTTCTACGAAAAATATTGAAATAATAATTATAATATACAATACTTCATATTTCCTTTCAGATAGACCGATATATGTATATTTGTTCAGTGTGACCATTTAAAACCTCTTTCTACATTCCATAAACGTAATCTCAAACACAAGCTAGAGACGTTCATTCTTCATACTAGCGGGACGGCGATTAAACATCTTTTCCATTGGTTTCATCTACTTGTTACAACCTCAATGACAATAAAATGCAAGAAAAATGCAGCAATGAAAGGAAATGTAAAAACAAGTCTTCAAGAGAAGAAGAATAACTTGGCATAAGTAGGCTTCCGTGATATCGACCGTTTGTTGTTCGTTAAAACAAGCTAGCTAAATGCGGTGCTTGTACCTCAGTGAGCGTCAGAACTACAGAGAAAGTAGAAATGCAAAGGAAATGAAACCGCATCTATATATTTCCCCACTTTCTTTAGAGTTTTGTGTAGAGTGAGCTGAAACTGAACTTAAGTTCTTTTTATTCTGTTTTTGGTATAAAGTTCAGGCGATCAGTGTTGCTAGTAGACAAGCAATAAACTGCTCATCTCATGAAGGCGTTTTGACCTCAGTGCAGCCGCCGCCATTTCCAAAAAAGATTTCAGCACCGTGAGGCTGGGTCCGTACGCCATACGGGTTCAGGCCACTCTCTCTCTGTCCGCAGGGTTCAGCCCTTTGGCCTGTGTAGACTAGAATCGATTTCAGGACTAAGATGGGTTTCTAGGTGCTGGCTTTAAGCAGGCTGTTGGCTAGAAGGCAGAGCAGCAGCGTCAGTGTGCTGAGGTAGCAGGCCGATGCGCCATCGCACCCTTTTTCGCCCTGGCAGCGTGGCTGCTCACACAAAACACCCCTAAAGCTGGGTGGACACACGCACTTCTGGTTCTGGATACAGGAGCCGCCGTTCTGACACAGGAAGAACTCGTCGTCGCACACGTTTGCTGGGAGTAGAAGAAAGACAGAGAGGAGATTCTCATTAATGATGTTACATATCTAATCTTACATGTCTCTAAACATAAAGATAGATCATGTTTTAAGGGATTGTTCTATTGTCTTAAAGTTAAATTTTTCATCCTAAATGTAGGTAGTCATTTAGCAGATATATTTTACTCATAGTGACTTAAGGTGTTCACATTGACAGTTAACTGGAAGGGATTCATTTTCAGTGACTAAGAGGCCAAAGGTTGTGTGTGTGTGTGTGTGTGTCTGTATCTGTGTCTGTGTCTGTGTGTGTGTGTCTGTCTGTGTGTGTGTGTGTCTGTGTGTCTGTGTCTGTGTCTGTGTCTCTGTGTCTGTGTCTGTGTCTGTGTCTGTGTGTGGGTCAGAAAACTAGTGTATGTATGCTACCTTTCAAATGTTTCGGTAAAATTTAAAAAATGATTTTGAAAAGGGTATTTTATGCTCACCAAGCATTTATTTGGTCAAAAATAGTAAATAAAATAATAAAAGTACATAAAAATGATTAAAATCAATGTTGAAAACAGTTCCGCTGCTTAATATTTTTTGTTGAAACATGATACATTTCTTTTTCATGATTATTTGATGTATAGAAAGCTCAAAAGAACAGCATTTATTTGAAATTTACATTTTTTTTTGTAGCAATGTAAAAAACATTTACATCAATTTAACGCATACTTGCTGAATAAAAGTATCAGTTTCGTTAAAAAAATCATAATAACAGAAAATCAGAATCATTTATCAGAAAATAAATCATATATATTAATAAGTGTTTAAAATGCCACCATTAAATATTTAATAATAATTAAACCAAACCTCACAGAAAGCTGAATTGGAATTTAAAAACCAGTTAAAACTTTTTATATAAGTTTATGCGATGCTTGCATGAAAACCAGGTCTAATTACAGCAGAGATGATAATGATGGTAATGATCTGTGAATGATCATAATTTGTGTCAAATCCTAGGTTTGTCCTGATCCCGCAATAATGATAGAAATCTACAGACCTCCACCAGTCTTTTGGAGACTGGGCGTTTCAACTCCATGTACACATAATTTTCAGATCATTTTGTATAAAGCCTTAATCAAAAAGAACTGGGAGAAGAACTGGGAGCTGTCACAGTCACGTGTATATTTGTAAACAGTAATTTCATCGGTAGTGGTGGGTTGTGATAAGCTAATGTAGGTTTTGGGCTGTTTTCTAGTCCTTTGCTGACAGTGTTTAATTATACAGCCAATTCTTTGCAAGGTTTGAACCAGCAACACCTTCTTACCCTACCTCACTGCTTTAGCCACTGTCACCCCACCCACAAGTGTCTATAATGCACAGCTGCTGCGACCAGCAGGCTGTTGTTGGTAGTACAACAGCAAAGACCTCTGTGAGTAACAATGTTGCTCATATGTTTGAGTGAAATGACACCCATATGTTGTTCGTTCACAACACTTTATTTGTTTTTCGAGTGGTATCATCCATCACAGAATGACTAAGCCTGTGTTTAATGCTTTTGTGAAGGAAGTGTGACTTACGCACGCAGCCTTGCTTCCAGGTATATCCAGGCAGGCAGTCCTCACACTTCTGGCCCGTGGTGCCCTCTCTACACTGGCAGAAGCCTGTGTCATTGCACCGGGCGTGTAGAGAGCCCAGCTGATTACAGTTACACTCTGTGTATAGAAAATTGTAGACCAATTGTAGATAATTTTTGCTGAAACCTTGAAAAGGAAGGCTATGTTCTCTTTCTTTTGTGATAGATGTCATTGAACTATGAAAACACTGTAACTTTCATAAACTTTAAAACTCATAAATAGCTTGTTTCATGCTTACCAACATTACTGCTCTGCATATTCTTCAGAAGGATAGTTAGAGACCATTTTTTTAAAACTATGTTCCTGATGGGGCAGTAAAACCATATTGGATTCAACAGGAAACCTGCAGCTCTTTAAAAAATAGTTCACCCAAAAAATAAAAATTTGCTTAAAATGTTCTCACCCTCAGGCCATCCAAGTTGTAGATGAGTTTGTTTCTTCATCTGAACAGATTTGGGGAAATTCAGCATTACATCACTTGCTCACCGATGGTCCATCAGTACAAAAATCCACCCCTGTTGTCCTCCCACATCAACGTCCTCCAACACATTTCTTTAGAACTGCTTTGGATTGTTTTCACTTGTAAACTATGGTTGATCTGCACATATTTCTCTCCTGATCCAGACAAGATGACATTTTCTTTTTCTTCTCTATAGAGGGCTTGTATTTTAGCCGGAAGCAACATTTTGAAATTAAAAATGTCTTAATGATTAATGGACTGGAGTCATGTGGATTACTTGTGGATTATTGTGATGTTTTTATCAGCTGTTTGGACTCTCATTCTGACGGCACCCATTCACTGCAGAGGATCTATTGGTGAGCAAGTGATATAATGCTAAATTTCTCCAAATTTGTTCCAATGAAGAAACAAACTCATCTACATCCTGAATGGCCTGAGGGTTAGTAAATTTTTTGCAAATTTTACAAAACTATTCCTTAAAGTAAAAGTGCACAACAGCGGCACACAAAGGAAAGAGTTTTTAGATAAAAGTCTTAAAGCCATAGCAGCAAAAATGACCTGTATAATTCTGAGGGTCACAGAAATAAGTGATAAATGGTCATAAATGACTAACATTATTAGTGGACCTGCAGGAAAAATGAATGTTTAATATAAAATAATATTTAAAAATTATGTACAGTGTTTCAAAAGTTACAACATTTTGCCTAAAGGAAATATAGCATAGCCTGAAGGCAATAGGCATATATTCACATGTGTTTGCAGGAAAAATTCACTTCTATGTTTGCAAGTTGTCAGTTTTATGTGATCAGTGGTTGTTCATCGGTCAGGTTTTGCTCTATGCATTCACAAGGGTATCATTTTTTTCATCTGGGCAGCTGTCAGTCATAGCGCAGTGATTTATGTGTGTGTATTTTTCCAGTAGAGGTCACTGTATCATTATCAAAGTGTTGTGACAGATTGCTTGAGCAGCTCTTGGAGCAGTTTTCATTAAAAAAAAAATTCTCTTAGGATTTCTGATTGAATTCCCCCTGCCACCCAATTTATAAAGTCAACATGAAATCGAAATTCATTCTATTTACTTTTTTGATACACATTCCTTGTCATATAGTGAATGATTCATTTTATTCCAAAGAAAATATTTTGTCTTTATCAAAATGTCCAAACGCCTGTGAGTGTGACATGTATTTCCTTGTCATCACAAACCTCTCTTTTCAGTTTTACCATGTACTGTCCACTTTCATTCAAAAATTCAATAAAAAAAAAAATGCAATCAATTCCTCACAGATAAAATCCAATCCCATCCTACTGCACATTGTTTTTTTTTCTTGTTTAATATCTGGTATTACTTTTAGTAAAATGGGTTGCATGTGGCATTTCATGTTGGCTTTAAGATCATGCACAAATGAATACAAAATTGCTTGTTTTCAAATCACATTTCCTTTATAGTATTCTCATATAGCATAATTATACAGATATTGATAAAGCTTTAAGCTGGACAGTTGAAAATGCAAGTTGTTTAGTTTCCTAGATCTTAAGCAAAATGAAGACTGGAGTCTGGGAGAAGATTTCTTGCGATTCTATAGTAAAGGCTGTAAGATGAATGATGCATGATATTAGTATATTTAAATCCATACTTCTGTTGGACTTCAGTAGGTTAGAAATTGTCACAGGTATGGCAAGGTGGTGGCAGACCAAATGTTGGACCGTATGCACATGAGGAAAGATTTCTCGACCTTTCCAGTTCCATACATATCATTTGGCCAGAAAGGACAATTTCTGTGCAGCGTGGTGTGGGTGCGTCAGGGGAACAGTGAAACGGGTTGGCGTGGAGTGATATCTGACTGACCTATGCAAACATTCTCATCGTCCAGCTCGGCGGAAGCATTCCGGAAGTATCCGAGGCGGCAGTGCTGACAGTTCTGCCCTCTAGTGTTGTGTTTGCAGCTCACACAAGTCACAATGTTGATGAAATCAATGTAACTGCAGCGATTTGAGTGACCGTTGCACTCGCAGTCTGATGGAGAAAGAGTAGATAGGTGTTAGTCTGTGGATCAGGGAACGATATATATATATATATATATATATATACACCTTGCTACGTGTACTGCGTTAGGCTAACCGAGACTTGTCATTTGCACTTATATATTGTTGCTCTTTTGTTAGTTTTGACTGCTTTTATTGTCTTCATTTGTAAGTCACTTTGGATAAAAGCATCTGCTAAATGACTAAATAAATAAATAAATAAATAAATATGAAGTGAATTTTCTGGTGCTTAAATTCATTCTTTTCTCAGAAGAATAAATTGTAAAGATTTTTGGGATGCTTTTACATAACAGTCATTTAGACATCTCCAAACAGACTGATTAAACAGTATAAAGTCATTAGTATGAGTGAATAAATCCACCTGTAGGCCTTAATTAACATAGTTTAAATGGACATTAATATAACACTGATAATGAGCTGCTGTTTAAAGTTGTGTTTGAGAGGCTGATCCTTTCGATTCTTTGCTGTTTGGACACTTGGGGCTTTGAATAATTGATATGATGTTTTAAAGATGCTGGCGACGTGGGTTCCTGCTGTGTCACAGTCAGCTAAGCAGTGGGATGGGGGGGTAAGAGTAGCTAATTAAATATAAATGCTCAATTACTCCCCAGATTGGTGAAGGGATGGAGCGATGTTTCACAAACGATCTTGCATCTTCAGCAGACAGCTGTCTAACACACTCGACGAGTGAAAATGCAAAGTAGCTAGTTTCTAGAAGAGGACGCTTTTGATTATACAGCCCGGGGGAGATCCTTCTGTTTTCTAGCAAACACAATACATCATGAGCGGCTTACCTTATGAGACAAAGCAAAAAAAAACATGCGAGCACAAAGAAAAGAGAGAGACAAGAAAGGGCGACATGGAAGAGCGGAAATGAATAACATTTAAGAAGCAATTTTTCCACAGTTTCCATATTAGTGTCTGTCCATATTCAGAAAAACAGAAATCAAAACTGAATTGTCCTTTATGAGAAGCATTGCCCACAGGAGCGCTAATGCCTATAAATACATCATTCATATAAAATGTCATTGAAACCCTATAAATAATGCCTTACCTTGAAATCTGATGTACGCTATTTTTGACAACTGCGTTTTTGGCCCCCCAGGGATCAAAATCCTCGCAACAACTTCAGAATAAAAGCAACGTTATTATCTTTGTTGGATATTTGTTGGCTAACACGACTGCACTATTGGGACAAATCACTCAACAATGTGGAAAAATTCACTGTAAGGGACGAAAATGTGAAACTAGATACACTGGAATGATGCTACTGTTATTTAGGAAAACTGATACTGTAAGCAAAACAGCCTAAAACTAGAAGAAACTAGGGTTTAGAGTTTCTTTCTTGTGGATCTAATGGCAGCTAAACCAATCAATACACTACAAGCTGTAAATGTTCTTCACTAACAGATACTCCATCTCATCCACAGCAGCATTACTGGAAGATACAATGCAGTCAAGCAGAAATGTATTTTTAGACCGCAGTCATTTAAACGTTGTCAGATGAGTGCAATATCTGTTTGTGTCATTTCTATAGTGTAGCTACGCACGGTACACACACTCAACTACAAATGCTGGATACCTTTTTTCTCATAGTCTTTCTTTTCATAATCTTTTTCTTTCTTTTTTTCCTTCTCTTTCTTTTCCTCTTTGGCTCCCCTGCTCTCTCCGGTTTTCCCAGCCTCGTTATGCATTCCGGAAGTATCCGAGGCGGCAGTGCTGACAGTTCTGCCCTCTAGTGTTGTGTTTGCAGCTCACACAAGTCACAATGTTGATGAAATCAATGTAACTGCAGCGATTTGAGTGACCGTTGCACTCGCAGTCTGATGGAGAAAGAGTAGATAGGTGTTAGTCTGTGGATCAGGGAACGAGGGACAGGAAAGGGAAAAGACACAGGAAACTCATGGATGTGAGGGCATGGGCATGACATGTAGACGCTAAGAAGACTATAAACTAGGCTAAGACTATTTAGCCAGCAGGAAAGGCTGGCAGGTATTTAACCCTACCTAAAAAAATTATGTGAATTAGATTATAGACCATATTAGCTAGTTGATTTCCAGTCCAGCCTTACTGACAAATCCTACCTTAACAACTGTTGCTCTCCACTATGTCATCAGATGAGTTATTGCTTTTATCTAATGTAAGTTTATGGAGAATTTCTGGGATCATTTTAAACTATTTTACAGATACAGAATTTTACAGAAGTACAGGCTGTCACCTTCATTCCCAAATAAACATGCATGATACAGTTGCTTGAAAGTAAATTAATGTTATGTAATTGACATGTTGTTATACACTAACTAAAATGTTGTTATACACTAACTAAAATGTTGACAGTTTTATAGTATATTGGTATATTGTACAAACTCTAGAAACACCAGTGTTATCACTTGTTATCACTATCAAAAAAGGCTTTCCTTTTTTTTATTTTTTTATTTATTTATTTTTTACTTTAACACGCATTTGCCTCTAGTTTGATTGATACTCTTTGCAGTTTTTCATTATGTTACTGTATCGTTTAACAACTACTTGGGAAATAAAAATGTTTTGCAGCCAGTGTCATGATTCATTCCAGCCCACATAGGAATAATATCCAATAATGTTTACCACTTCATGAGCACTTTTTAATGAAAATTACACCGCTCATGGAAATCTCCAGTTCATTCCTATGGGATGTACTGTAAAGCTTGTCTGAGTCAGCAACAGTAAACCACCAAGGCTTAGCGAAGGGTCAACTGTGGATCACTGTATAGCCTAGATTGCTTTCCTTATGGTCTCTTATTTTTCATTTTCATTTATGCACTATTTGCTGTAAAACTATAATTATTTGGGTTACAATTTATTTTACATTATGTGTACATACAGTGTACTTACCAAAGAAAGTACGGTTGTATAATGTACCTACATGTGTTAAGGTTAGGTTCAGGGTTACCACCTAGTTATTTATAATAATAAGTTCATAGTAAGTACACGTGGAACAGGGCTGTAAAATAAAGTGTTGACATTATTTTGTTTATTCTAATTCTATTATTTCAAAGTTTAAGACACATATGTTAACCAAGTAATAATACTTCTTGTCTGGGGCTATTAACTATAGTTTATATTCTTTTTTTCCTTCTCTTTCTTTTCCTCTTTGGCTTCCCTGCTCTCTCCGGTTTTCCCAGCCTCGTTATTCTTCTTAATGTCACCAGATACTGTTTACACCAGAGAGATCATGAGTGTTTGAAGAAGAACACGTCACATCGCTTTATTTTCCAGTTCATTTTATTCATTGTTCAGATGTGATACATGATTTGTTTTATGCTGACATAGTGGTTGAATATTTAAGGATATTGTTTCAAACATTTTTTCATGGAATGTACAAAAGGTCTGTTCATTAACACGGTGTAATTGCAAGAGAATGTAATTAAGGCTTGAACCAAAGGAGGTCCTAATACATTTTTTTAATCAGTTCTTTCTTTCCGAATCCGTATTGTGCATTCAAACTATTCTTGATAAACTGTATACAACTTCAGCGTTTTGTTTTAAAAGTCTTTAAAGGGATAGTTCACTCAAAATGACAAATCTATCATTATTTACTCACCCTTTTGTCATTCCAATCCCATATGACTTCCTTTCTACTGTGGGAAAGGAATCAAAAGGAATCTTTTATTTATATAGAATATTCCCCAAAAAAAAACAAAAACTTTTTTTCCCCATATAATGAAAGTGAATGGGGACTGAGGCTGTCATTTTGCCAAACAACACCTTTTGTGTTCCACAGAAGAACGTAAGTCATACAGGTTTGGAACGACATAAGGGTGAGTAAATGATGACAGAATCTTCATTTACTATTCCTTTAAGAGAGGCAGGCCTCTGGCTTACTGTTCTGAAGGCAATTTGGGTTGCGTGACACAAACTTCAACAGATTACACCTCCAAAATTAACATTTGAAGCTCCTTTAAAAGTGTATAATTGTGTAATTTGCACTTTAACAGGGATTATACTTGTCAGAAAATTTAGATGTCAGATTTTCTGTGGGTACCTGGGGCTTCTGCGTTTTTATCTTTCTTCTCCAGGTTTGTTGCTGTTTTTTCCTCCTTGGACGCAGCTAGAGGAACTTCACTGTTTTCTCCTACTTCAGACGGAGGTTTACTGTCAGGAGAATCGTTATCTTTCTTCTCCAGATTTGTTGCTGTTTTTTCCTGCTCGGTCTCAACAAGAGGAACTTCACCTTCAAATGGAGGTTTACTGTCAGTCTCAGCATTAGGTTGAGGAGCAGCATCAGTGACTGTTTCTGCACCTGCTATGACAATTTGAGCACCATCACCTTGACCTTTTGGAGCTGGTTCGATTTCATCAGACACATTGGTTGCTTCTGCATCACCTGGACCTTCTGGAGCTGGTTCGATTTCATCAGACACATTGGTTGCTTCTGCATCACCTGGACCTTCAGGAGCCACAGTAGTAGTCGCAGGAGCATCCGAGTCTGAGGTTGCTGGGGCAATGGAAGCAATCTCTGGAGAAACTGTAACTATTGCTGGAGCATCTGTTACAGCTGCTATGGCATCATTTGCAGGCGCATCACCATCAGATGCAGGAGTTAGAGGAACATCAGATGCTGGGACAAACAAATCAATGTCTGGAGGGAGTGTTTTAAATGCAGCATCAGTTGAGGACACAACTGTGCTTGTAACTAAGGTTACCGCAGTATTTCCTGTAACCATTGCACCCGCTTCCACAGGAGATCTATCAGAAACCAGTGAAACTGCATCAACAGCAATAGAGGTTGGCAGTTGGATTGTGCTAGCTGATGCTGAAGATGTTGCTTCAGAAGTTGCCATGGTTGCAGAAGGTGTTGTTGCCATGGTTGCAGAAGATATTGCTTGGGTGTCCATATTAAGTGTTGTAGCAGTGCCATCAGAGGATGAGGCAAATGAATCGGTAACCTCAGGAAGAACAGAGAGTGGATTGCTTGTAACAAAGTCAGTTGTTGCAGTCACGGTGTCGGTTGCTGTGGTGGGCGCATCGGGTATCACATCTGGTGCTGCGGAAACTGTAATTGTGTACAGAGCATAAAGAGTCAGATATCTAAACCGTTCTGTCAAAAGCAGTATAGATGCCTACGAATGCCATTGGTGTCCTTTGGGCTTACATACTGTACATAATGGATGTTATTGCAGCATTTCAACCTTTGACCATTTCCAGTTCAGCAGAAACGGGATACACAAGATCTGATAGAATAATTTCCCCCGTTCGTGCCCCTGTCCAACCCTTCAAGGACAGGACTCACTGCGTTTTCCTGTTATGGTTTCATGTATCTATCTCTCTCTCCATAAGTTCAATAAATTGTCCCCTTTTTGGTCTTCCTTACCATGACCTGGTCTCTTTTCTCTTATGAAATATTTAGCAGGTGTTCATTCAATAGCTATTCAAAAATAGATCTGAAAGAATTGAGCTCCGGCCTTCAGCTGAGCCTCTACCGCCACGCCATGTGCTCTCGAAAGTGATTGTGTTTCACAATAACAGAGTATTTAATGATTTATCTCCTGAGGCTGGGCTTGCCATTTTCATAGCTACAGCTTCAGCACCATTAGGTTCGAAAAGCGAATACTACACACACCTGGTGTGAGGCAGAAATGGTGGGATAGGTGAGGTAGTGGCATATTAATTTAAATACACAAACAAAGTGAAAAAAACGCATTCACAGTCGACAAAACTGAACACCTGCTAAATAGCATATCCAATTGGAAAATCAATCTGCTTTGTAAGAGAAATGCACTGCTTGTAAATGCAGTAAATGAGCATATACTCATTGCAATAAATATATTAGTGATATCGAAATTTTCACCAAAAAAATAATTAACATTTGTTTATTAAAAAATATATTTTTATATTAAAAAGTAACTTAAAAAAGAAATATGAGGCTCATATTGGTTGTTTATTATTATATTATATTATATTATATTATATTATATTATATTATATTATATATTATTATATTATATTATATTATATTATATTATATTATATTATATTATATCATTTAAGCTGTAAAGATGTCTGAACCATCCTTTTTTAGTTCCTGCAGTATTCTGGCTTTTAAAACTGTGTGCATTTTAATGTCGAGGAAAAAAACTGAATGGAAAACATTAGTAATCAACATAATGTCACAGATGCTGAGCTTTTGTTTTATTTGTATTGAATCCTGAACATTTTTTAAGTCTGTAAAATTTTATTATCAGTTATTTAATTTAATTTTTAATTTTTATGTTTACAGCTGAAAGCCCGTTTAAATTGGTAATGGATTGTAAAGCATCAGTGCGGCATCATCATCAAAACGCTCCACCTGCCCTGCTGACTTCAATGCTTGATTCAAGAAGACAGTTTAAGGAGCCGCCACATGGTACGTTACTTGGCACCCTGGCCTATATATATTATGAGTGATTTAGCACAGCAGTAATCATGTTTAATCTCCACAACCTGCTATACCTCAGATCAGAATATAGAGCACCATTATGGCCATCAGTCATGAGTGGAATTACAGTGGAACGTGATTCCCTGCATGCACTGCAATCCTCAAGGTCTCCTATATGGTAAGGGAGAGCAAAGAAACTGGAGGGAATTTACGAAGTAGTAGTTCACTTGCTATTGGCCTTGTTTACTTGCCTATAATGACTGTCTTGTTTTTGTACCTTATATGAATTATATTAATATTTGTGCACAATTTTTACAGTGCAGTTTTTAAAGTGCTGCACTATTTTGCTGTTGCTTAGTGAATGATATGCAGGTTTAGAGCATATCTGAAACGGTTTAGTGAATTTGTCCCACTGCTTTAAATCCTATATTTTTCAGATTTTAGATTAGATTTTGACTATTTATTAATATTTTAATTAGTTTTTATTTTCATATTATTTTACTTTTAGTAGTTTTGTTCTTCTTTTGTCTTAAATATATCTATAAAAATTAATTTTTATTTGAGTTTTAGTTATTTTACTTCAAGTGACCCTAACTGAAAATGAGAAATGTTGCCTTGGCGACTAGTTGAAATAAAATGATAACATGATCAAATTATATTATTTTTCTGGTTTTAGTTTGAGTTAACAATGATACTAGACTACTAAAGGTGTTTCAGACAGCACATTTCAATTGAGTATCTTAATGTTGCTACATTACTAGCATTGTTGGGTCAAGAATTTAGAGAAATGCTCTTGCTTGTTCCTGTCTGAAATGCTTTGTGTCGAGAAGTTTTTTGTTTGTTTGTTATACCAGGTACCAAATTGTAATCATCCTACCCATGAAGTGAACCCTGGACTTATAGCATAGCATTATAAAATGAAGTCACACAAATTCAGATGTTCTAGGCTCTTCTGAAAGCTTGTAAAGATTCAAAGTGCCTTCTAATAGAATAACTGTAATGTATGCATTCTCACAACCAGGAGGGCAAGAGAACAAAACTCAATGTATGACTTTAAACATGCTCCCTGTTGAATATTTCACCTCTCAATTATTAACACAAGTGAGACCGAATAAATTAAGAATGTCTAACCTAAATAGATGGACACATGCTTGCAGGGTGCGAACTACGGGGGAGCTTGGCTCCCGTTAATAAGACATGGGCTCCCCTGAAAACGGGATTTGTGAAATTTTGGGGGGTCTCAAAACATATTGACAATGTGTTATTTTGACGTGCAATTTCAGTTTTGTGT